TAAGTTTTTTAATTTTAAGAGTTTGGACTTTTTAACGAGACAGAACAAATCTATTATTAAAGTTATTACAGAAACAGTTCACAGTATAAGGCATTTACTGATACCTTATAATCTAGCTTGAAACATAAATTTCATCAATGAATACAGACATATGCATCTGAAAAGGGATCTTTATACAAATAAAAGTTCAGTTTAATTCTGCCACTAAAGTTTAAACATTTTTAATGTAAAAACATTGGAAATTTTTGTATTACTACGTTGATAGGTAAGTAATGTGGAAGAAAGTAAAGACGAGGAAAAAAATACCATTTATATAATTCAAAATTTAAAGCACCTCACTGATAGGCCCAGTACACAATAGAAGTACCTTGAAAAGTTGGCAAATCAAATATCTATTTTCAAAATGAGATTGGAAGAATAACAATTATGCAAAGGCCCTGATTTGATCTTTTAAAATAAGCTGTGTTCGTATGTCAAGGTGCATTTCTTATTTTAGAGTTTGAACAGGGGTAATATTTCAAAAAAAATGTTTTCCTTTTAATTAGTAAATGTTCTTGCTTATGGTATTTTAGCATAAAGATGGAACAAACACCTTCTTCACACCCAGTTGTTTGGACTGTCACGTCTACAAATTGCTGGAAATGTCCATTACAATTAAGAGTCTTCAATTATAAAACTACATACAGGATTCATGGTATTCTTTCCCCCTATTGACAAGATTCAGCAAGCACTAAAACATTTTTCTGATGAGGTACTCCACCAATGCACACTATTTCCAGATTAGAGTTGGCTAGTGAAGAAAACCTATTTTGATAGCTTAGAAAAATACTTGCATTTGTGATAGAGCAGTTCGTCATGGAGTTTGTGATGTTTTGGTAAAATGAGTATCACTTGGCATTCTCACTGTAATAAATTGTGAATAATTTCCTAAAAGCTCTTCTGTTGAAAAGGCAGGTTGTTTTGAAACACCTAATGTAGGAACATTTCTGAATGGATTCCAATCATATGAAACAATAAAACATACTTAAGATTCCATCTTAGAACACTGATCTTTTCCATTGTGGTAAGTGCCTACTAAAGCAATTGAGATGGGTATTGTTTCATTCTATTGGAGGAAATAAAACTTAAGCGCATCTTCATTTAGAAATTTCCAGATCCCAAGAAGAGCAGGAAAATTAGCTAGGTTGCTAAGCTTGCCTCTGTCTCTAATGGAGTTATTTGAACTTTAAAGATCATCATTAAAATTTAAGCAATGAGGGGAACGGGTGATACTACAGAAAGTAAAAAAATGAAAATCTAGGGTGTTGGAAAGCTCTGGTGGCACAATGCCTAACACATTTGACTGATAACCAGAAGGTTGGCACCACCGGCTACTCCATGGAAGGAAAATGGGGCGATCTACTTTTGTAAAGATTCACGGCTTTGGAAACCCAGTGGGGGTTGCTGTGAGTCAGAATTCACTCAATGGAGTGAGTTTTGTTTAAGGGTGTTGAAATAATTCTTCCAAGCAACTAAATACAAGTTTCAATAAAGAATCTCATTGACTAATCTCTGATATCGAAGCAGAAACTTAGAAACCAGAACGTTTCATGCGGACCTGAAAAGTTTTCTGCAATATGGGAGCATTCTGCTGCAGGTTCGTTATAATTGTCATGTCCTTTTTCCCCATTTGGATTTATAAATGTCATTCTCTAACATGCTTTCCGAGCAAGCACTCTCTTAGCTCACCTTCCTAGTTTAGAGCACTTCAAGAGCCCTTCACGTAACTCTCCTTATGTTTTAAACATGGAACGTGTGTGAGCTCCACCATGACTGAAATATACAACTTTCCACTTAGTATAGCACTATTTGGATTTTATGGTTTGTTCTGGTTCCCTAGTGCCGCTCTGACAGGAATATACCACAAATGAGATGGCCTTAACAAATAGGAGTTTATTCTCACAGTTTGGAGGCTTTAAGTCCAAGTTCAAAGTGCCAGGCTCTAGGGGCTGGGTGAAAGCCTCTTGACCTTGGGCTTCAACTCTGCCTCTTGCTCCTGGCCCACTTAAGCTGGAGGCATCTCTCCACTCAAGCAACCACTAGCTACTGAGGCTGACAAACCCAGGGTTGGCAAGTGAAAAGGTATAGTCCCGATGTTACCAAACCACACGGCAGGCCATTAATTCAAGTCTATTGAAAGTCCGAAGGTCAGCAGAGCATGGCAGGCTGCTGAACAATGACATGGCTATGTGCAGGATCCAAGCGTGCCGTAACCTAGAGACCATTCCCCAAGGCTTCTGCTTATATACAGGAAGCAGACCACATTCCCGAAGGCAGCTACTCAGCTGCTCCCAGTGGATTCCACCATGGAGTTGATTACCAGTCCCATCATGGGAAATACTACATCCAGCTGCCCAGCCACTCAACTGGCCCAGCCAGGTTGACACACAAATTGAACTACCACATGGCTGTAACTTGAAGTCCCTCTGAAGAACCCACTGCTTTCCGTTCTCATCCCTCCCTGATACCTCCCCCCCACATACACACACAAAGGGAGGAGAGATTATTCTGATTGTCCTGGACAATTCTGGTATCTTAAGTACCAGATGTTGATTTATGAGTAAAGAGACATGCTAAGAAAGGAATCAGGCTTGGTTGTAACACTGAGTAGCCAAGCATTGTCTAAGATAGTGTAAGAACAGCACAGTTAAGCCACTGCATTCCATATTTTTAAGCTTTGTTTTGACAGTGACTCCAAATCAGAATTACATAAGTGATGAAGAAACATCAGATCGGTCTTTCCGACTTACCAGAATATGATCCTTTAGTCCCAAGGGTCCTTCGTGGTCTACCCGAAGCACAGCCCCCTCTAACCTGAGACCAGAAGAACTAGATAATACCCGGCTATCCTTACCCACCATTCTAAGACCACAATAGAAGGTCCTAGTCAGAATGGATACAAAAAAAGGTAAAAAATTAAAAGCCAAAAAAGAAAAAGATCTGACTTACCAATTAGAGAGACTAGAAGAACCCCAAGACTGTTACCCTGAGAAAATTTCCTAACTTGAAACTGAAGATACTCCCGGAGGCCACCTTCTTGCCAAACAATAGATGGGGTTATAAAACAAAAAGCCTGAAGAATGTGCTCCTCAGAACAATCACATGAGACAAAGGCAACGTTTGTCCCAAACCAAAGATGAGAAGACGGAGGGACAGGGGAAGTGGACAGATGGAAATGGGGAACCAAGGCCAGAAACGGTGCTGACCATTGCGGGCATTGCAGCCAATGTCACCGGACAATTTGTGTATGAACTATTGATTGGGAAAACTAGCATGCTATGTAAACTTTCACCTGAAGCACAATGAAATGTGGGGGTGGGTGAGAATATGATCCTAATTCCAGGAGAATGATCTCTCTTAAGGATAGGTGAGTTAAATGGAAATTCAGACCTACACTTACATTTTGAGATTCAGAGGTACCAAATTAATAAACTTAGTAAAAAGGGTGGTGAGGGAGTGACTCATCTTGCAGAGTAACTTTTTGCCTTATTTTGTGATTTCATTTGTATTTGTATTGTACTGACTTTGGAGCTGTCAAGGTCTTTACATCCATCTCCTTTCCACAAATGGGGCAGCCAGGGCAGTGAATTTGTATGCATTTCAGCCACCAAATGAAATAAGTTTTAAATGGTTTGTAAGTCTACAATTGAGAGATGAATTCTTTGGACTTCATTGTACATCAGTATAAGAAATAACCTCTAATAATCGAGTTGCTTTCATACCTTTGTCTTGTCTTGCCTATTTCTTTAGTAATAAAATCCCAAGAAAATAAGTTAACTCGTCTTTAAGTAATTTTACAATTCCATTTTTATTTTTTACTCTTATGTAAATCCTATACTAGACATAAAAGGTCTTTCAATGATCATTTTAAAATATGTCTACCTACTCTTAAGTTTTCCTTTTAAAAAACATACATTAGTAGTAATAAACAGGTCAAATAAATGCAAACTATGCAAAACAAACAGATTTTAAGTTTACTTTCTTTGTTTCCATCTGATAGTTTGGAAACGTTTCAAAGTTTCTATATATTCATCTAACACTTGAGTTGGTGAAACTCTAGTCTATTTGAAAAAGTGCTTTACTCCCTTTAAGATTTTGGTAAGAAAATCTCACACTACAAGGTAGACTTTTGCTTCTCTACTTAAGCATCTAGGAGTTACAAGCCACCAGAAACTAAATTTACTTTATCTGCTTATAGAACTTTAAGTGGAATGAAAGTTCATTCACTTAACTGGCCTTTTCCCAATCAGCCTTAAACTCAGTCCTGAAAATTATCTGGAAGGTTCACAACCATGATCATACGAAGGGTCACGGGCCGTAGCTGGAGGTGGGGAGAGGGAGATGCATTTAAGGCTAACCCAGACTCCCCAAATGCTCATGCACTGATGATGCACTTGGTTTATGGTCAGGGTTCTAGATCAGTAGACCCTAGGGCCAAGTGAGAATTGGATTTATATTCTCTGCATGAAGCAAAGGATGTAATCTGAAATTCGGTCAAACTCAGTCATTTGCAGTAGGCAGAGTTTAAACCAGAGAGCCAACTGAACACTGAAGGTGCATGTGCCGACATCCATCTTCAAAGTAGCTGACTGCCAAGCCACACTGGCAAAAGAAATAAGCCAGATTTGCCTGTGAAATGTCTTCCTGAATGTTTAGCAGAGCGAGACAGGAAGATGGCAATGAAGTGCAGCAAATGCTAAGGGCTGGTCCATAAAGGAAGGTGTGTGGGCTAAAGTAGCGTCCTGGAAAAGGAGAAGGTGGCAGAGCATCTTGTAACAATTATACCTTTCAAACAGCAACATACAATACACATTTAAGTGGGTACAACTTGTTAATGTAAGAAAAATTGCAGGAAATTCATATAGTTTGTAATGGGCCCAAAGAACTGGACTGGGATACGGAAACACTGAAACAGTAGTACACAAAGACACACAAGCTCACATATACATATATTTTTCAGTTTAGCTTCTTATATCTTCCACTCCTGACTCACAGCAGCACACAAGTTAGAGGGTTCTAGTACCTACCAGCTATAGAATTCTATGCAAAACGGCATCTCTGTTTTCTCTTACATGGTTTATGCATTCATGAGCAGTGAAACCTTCACAAGCTAAGAGATGTCAGACACCAATGATCACACCAAGAAATGATAGAGGAACCTTTCACAGACTTGACTCTAATCCTAATCTTAACAGATGACAGAGCACTTGTCATCACCTCCCACACACATCCTCACACATCCAAATGAGCTAGTTCAGCTGCATCACAGAGTCCAGCGTGGTCATATGTCCAGGAGATTTCACGGAAAGAAGTGACTGTAGGTCATAAGAGTCTGGGCACCATAGTCTGTTGGGGTTGCGTCTCTGTGAAGGAGACCCTTCCATGCTGAGCTGGAAACTCATTCACTTAGAGGGGAGAAGGCGAGGTGTGACAAGGTCAGAACTGGAGGAAGAGGTGGTTGGGAAGCTGTTTTCCTCTCAATGAAGCTTGTTACACAGCATTCAAGCGGATGTCCCCACAGGGAATTTCTGTTGGTGTTTCTGGAGTGATACTTTTAATAACACGCTGTTGGGAAGGAAATGTGATGTTATAAACAGTCTCATAATTTGACAGGGTTGCAAAAGATTTCAGCATTAATATTGAAACAAAGATAACAAAATGGTATTTAATAGTAAGTTGGAATACTCCATTGACTTTCCTGAAGAAGGGAATTCTCAACTGATCCTTAACCAAATATGGTTAATATGGGACATTCAGGAACTACAGCATCTGCAAACTAAGAAAACCAGTGTGGTGCTAACAGGAGGAAATGAGGCTTCAATGGGCCTCTGATGGCCTAGACATGTCTTTGAATGACTTGGGAAAGGGCACTCTTCCCTCTGGACAGAGGAGGCGTCACCCAGCTGCACAGGGCTTAGGGAGCAGGGTGAATGCTGGACTTCAGGCCCCCACTCCCCTCTGCTGGACTCCTGTCCTGCATATACTCTGGAGACACAGTGCACAGTGCCATCCAGTCACTGTAATGGCCAGGGCATTACTGATGTAATTAATCCACCTGGAAAAGAGTACCGGTTAGCTTGCACACAGGTGCAGATTACTACATAATTAAATTTTAAAAGGTGTAGCCATTTAATCATCAATCCTAAAACAATATCATGTCCACATAATAATCATAACAGGGAAAAGGCTGAGAACTTCTACTTCAGAAATGGCTGAAATACTCAGAAGCTTTAAAACATGTGAAATCTGCTTGGGCTTGGGTATGGAATTATGAAATTGAAATAGTTGTGTTTTGGTTCTCTAGTGCTGTTATAACAGAAATACTGTAAGTGGATAGATGAGACAAACAGGAAGTTATTTTCTTACAGTTCAGGAGGCTGGAAGTCCAAATCGAGAGTGCCAGCTGTAGGGACTGGATGAAGGCCCCTTAACCTTGGGCTTCAGCTCTGCCTCTTATTCTAGGCCCACTGGTGTCTGGCAACTCAGGCAGCTGCTGGCTGCTGAGGCTGATGAACCCAAGGCTGGGAGGAATATAGCACAGTCTCAACATCAGGCAACACGGCTGGTTGCTGAGATGACGACTCAGCCAAATTCAGGATCCAGATATGCCAAAACCTCTAGACCTTTCTCAAAGTTTCTCCTTATATACTAGATGCAGCCCACACACCCCAAAGGCAACGGTTTAGCAGTTCAGAGCAGATTACATCACGGAGGTGATTATAATCTCATCATGGGGAATAACTACATCCAGCTGCCCAGCCACTCACAACCACGGCCCAGCCAAGTTACACACAATTTTAAGTACCCCAGTATGAAATTGAAAACTTAGTGTCAGGGTGACATGAAGCAGCTCAGAGATGTGGAGAAGAAAAAACAGCAGCACTGCATATTAGAAAAATCTTTATTAAGTTACTTAGTAAAATCTCTGATGGCCAAAAGTCTGCACATATGGTAAGGACACAAAGTTGGATCTGAAAGCATATTTTGATTTATTGACTTTAGGTGAAGTACTGCTAATTGTCATTTTCATTTTGGATTGAAAAAGTATGTAATCCCCCTTCTGTTTCTTCTATTTCTTGGCTCTAGATTTCATTCTTTAAGGAGCAGAGCCTATGGAATTGAGACAGTCCCATTCTCATGTTGTTGTTAGGTGCCGTCAAGTCGTCTCCAACTCATAGGACCCTATGCACAGCAGAAAGAACACCGCCCGGTCCTGCACCAGCTCTACGATCCTTGCTATACTCGAGCCCATTGCCACAGCCACCGTGTCAGTCCATCTCTTTGAGAGCCTTCCGCTCTTTTGTCGACCCTCCACCTTACCAAGCATGACATCCTTCTCCAGGGAATGGTCCCTTCTAACAACATGAGCGAAGTAGGGGAGACAAAGTCTGGTCATTCTCGCTTCCAAGGAGCATTCTGGCTGCACTTCTTCCAGGATAGATTTATTATTAGTTCTTTGAGAAGTCCATGGTACTTCCAGCATTCTTTGCTGGTACAACCCAAGGGTTTCCAAGGCAGTATCACTACAGAAGTAGATTGCTCAACCTTCCTTCCGAGGAGTGGCTGGTGGGTTTGAACCATCAGCCTTCTGGTTAGCAGTCAAATGCCCTAAGCATTATGCCACCGGA